AGTGTGCTGTTGCTCTGATATTTCATCTCTCAAAAAAATAGGTTATTGGAGTTTGCTCCACATTTGTGATCCATTATCATCCACAAGGAGCTTCAAAGTTGGCCCCATATACAGCCCTCTGGCCTTCTTTCTCTGAGACTTCTTTAAAAAACAACAACAAGCCAGCACTGTAAGCCAGACTTGTAGTCAATAGAAGCAGGTTGAATGAGATGTCTTGAAGAATGTGTATATGTGTATGAAATGATAAATCTGGTGGTTTATGAACTTTTGTAGGTGAATATTTTATTTGAAGAAATGGTTTACTTGGGATGTGGGGACTAGAAATCCTCAGGATTCAGTTTGACTTTCCCGGAGTTCCTGAAGGGTTTCTTAGATTTCTTGGGTTCTCGGTTCTCTTAACAACTGGAAGAGCTGAGGTTGTAGGTGTAATAGAAATGTTTTTTCAAAGAGATGTAAGGGCAGACTCTTCAAATGTTTTGGGACTTACCTCATATGGTTTCATGTTGTCCTCTGCTGCATTTGTGATTGAAATTGCCTGGACTGATACCGGTTGCATTAGGGGCTCACTTTGCTTTAGTGTCACCATGACCCACGCCATGGCACAGTGAGCCGAGGGTGAGGAGGGCCTCGCTGAGCATGTACATGCGCGTCCCACGCGCCGTTAATCTGCTTCACCAGCAGAACTTGCTTTTCTGGGGCCTCAAATCAAGATGACAAAAGGGAAGCAAAGGGTCTCTAAGTAGAATTCTGTATCAGTTTAATTTTTTTTGGTGTTTTACTTGAATAAGTTGACTTAAATGGGAACTAATAGTTGATGAGTGGTTGGGAGCCTCTTCAAAATATTTGTGAGAGAACTGTATATTTGATACATTATTTTATCTAGTTCTTTTTTTTATCTATAACGAGGATCCTAGCATGCCTGGCGTGCGGTTGACAGTTTAATTTGAAAGAAGCCCATGATCATCACTAATAGTTTTCACAAGTGGAAAGTAAAGTGACATTCATTGAGCACCTGCCTGTGGCACTGGGCAGTATTCTGTGCTGTCTACATGTTAGTTATTCCTTATTAAACCATCAGGAGCGAGGTGGTGGTTTTATTTCACAGGTGAGACGGTTGAGGCTCATAAAGTCAGGAAATGACAGAGCTCGGACCCCAGCCCAGGGCTCACTTGCTCTCTCGCCCAGGCCGCTACTCATGTCAGCTTTCAGAGGTGCTCACAGCCCTTCAAGGAGTCGCTGGTGAAGTGGGTCTTGTCATTGGATCAGAAGATGAACAGGACTCGGCAAGCCTGTTTTCCACGGCGCTGGCCTGGACCTGCTCACATTGGCTCTGGGTGTGTGCTTTTTAACTCACCTCCAAACTAAAAGTGTTGCTTGGTCACTTTTAGGGTCACTGGACTCTAGCCTTAGCCAGGCCATGTGCCTCAATGAGTTTTTTATGACTCGGAGTCTGATGGCTCTTGTTCTCTGTTTGGTTTTAAGACAGTGGCTTTCTCTGTAGAGGGTGGACATCCGGCCTGGATTTTACAGATTGTCCTAGAATAGTACCCTAGTTCGGAGGAGAAATTAAATGGTTGACCTGGATATTAGAAGGAAGATGTTGGATTTGGTCGTTATTACTAATTATAAGTTGAATTCAATAGCTGATTTAAATTTGGTCTTACCTGTTTTTCTCTTTCTAGCTGTTCAAACATAGCAAATATGTGTATTTCTTTGGATTCCTCTCTGGGAAGGAGGCCTCAGGGGGTGAGGAGGAGCCTGCTGGTTCAGAACACCCCTGTGTTCAAGATTTGGCTCAGTCTGTTCTGTCCATTGCCACTAGGGGACCATTTCTTTATACTTTCTACAAATACCACTCTCGCTATAGAAATGATAGTTTTCTTAAAAATGTGCTACCAATGAGCCAACCCACATACTTAGTACGGTACCTACTGTCCCACATTTCTCACTTGAGGTTTACTTGAACTGTGAACCAGCTTAGTCCAAGAAATTCAAAACAAAACAAATATAAAAGCTTCATTTTTAGCTGAAGAAAAAATTTTTCCATGTGCATTCTTTTTAAAAATAAAGGAATGCTGGATAGTGTTCATTGTAGAGTTGGCCCTCTGTAGCCACAGGTTTTGCATTTGCAGATTGAACCAAAAGCAAATCAAAAATATTTTGGGGAGAAAAACATGCCAGAAAGTTCCAAAAGCAAAACTTGGGCCAGCCACAGTAGGCTGAACCCACGAGGAAGAAGTGACATGGAGGCGCTCCCTGCCGGAGCCACATGCAAATGTGGGTTATATGCAAACAGGTTTGGGTATTGCGGGGAGCCTGGAACCAAACTCCCTCCACCCCCCACCCCCAGGGGCAGCTGTTCTATTGTAGAAATAAATGTTTGCTGTTTTAAAGGGAGAGAAAAAATGTGTAGAACTGATACTGTATATTTTATTTGGAGTCACTTTTAAGGATTGCACAATTTTCTCCTAAAGTTCTGAAGTTCACAATGTGAAATATTAAGGATTCTCTATTTTTCAACTAAATTGACCTATTTTTGGTTTTGTTTTGTTTTTCCTTTTTCAGTCTTTACCAGGTGCTGGTCTCTGGATGGTTTTTGCTTAAATTGGAAAAACCTTAAACCTGCCCCAGACCTGCATGGCACCCGGCGGGGGCTGGTGGCAGTGGCGTGGGAAGCGTTTGAGGAAGCCTAGGCGGAAAGTAGACTCGGGGTCAGCTCTGTCCCCCCTCCCTCCGCCTGTGGGCCGAGCTGGAGCTGCCCTCCCCGCTCACCGTTGTTCTAGAGCAGTTAGAGGGGAGACCGCGTGGAGTCAGCACTCAGCAGGGAGCAGCACAGCTCAGGCCTGCGACTGGACGAGTGGGACCTGCGCTGAAGACAGTGTTGACAGCAGTGCCGCATGGCGACGGGGAAGGGCGTGCTTGTGGCGTTTCTAATAAAAAGCCGCTGCGGCTGCTGCCACAACACACATCCCCCCTCCCCCTCCAACTCCCCCCCAAAACCCACTCTGGGTGTTTGTCCCTTCCCAGAAACACAGGGTCTACTGCTGCCACTGAGAAGAGTGACACCCGAAAGGCCCTCTGACCAGTGAGCTGGGCTCGTCTATGTTGAAACAAGAGGCCAAGGGCACGGCCTGCATGTCGGGGGCAGGGAGAGCTCTGGAAGGCAGGGTCTCACCTGCCACAGTTCTCATTCTACCTGAGGACCTGACCCTGTTAAATAACTCCTGTTTATTGGTCATCTGATTAGACTCTGTTAAAAATTAGGTGGTTCTTTCTAAAAACTATCCAAATATTTTTTTAAAAACCAGAAAGTTTTTTGTTGAGGGGAAAGTGGACACGGAAATCTGACTGCCTTCAGGATTTGGCAAGTATGACATGATGGAAACCCCGCTTCCGCTGTGCCCTAGGCTGTGGGCTATGGTAGTGGCTCCATGCCAGTCATGATTGACACTGGCTTCTAGGAGGAAGGGTTTGACCACTTTTCCTTGTATAATTATTGCCATGCTTTATGCTTAAAAAGACATCAAGATGGCATGAAGACGTTTGCTATCTGGGCAGCTGTATGAATGAGGCCCTTTCCCAGCGGTGCAAGGTGTGGGCTGCAGTGTTGAGTACTGTGGTCCATGGTGAACAGCTTGGAAAGAGGTAGCTTTAGTGTCATTTCTAGGACTTGAGTTTGCTACTTATTTTAAAAGAAAAATGCCTAGATTCATAAAGAACGTGCTTTGCCAAGCATAGAAGAACATTTCACTCTGAGGTTGCTGCTGCATGTGGAAGGCAGGGCTTGTTTATTTTATTTTATTTATTTTTTTGAAGGCAGGGTTTGAATAACAATGTTCTTCATGTTGATCTGTGGGCTACAATCATAATTAACTTTGAAGATTCAGAATTTATCTCTTTTCCAGGAGAAAAACCATCAAATGCGTAAACTTGATTTTAAGTACTTCTAAATATGTTTTGCAGAGTGATTTTCTTAATCCAGATTGGAAAATACCTGTCTCACTGACTGAAGATGATTGACAGATGTCTGTTTTGTTGAGATTTGGAAGATATAATAAAAAGCGAATTATTTTTCAGTCTTCCAGGAAACTTTCTCCTCTTCCTCCTCTCCTTGCTTTCTATACCTTTCAACAGGAAAGCATTAAAAGAAAAAAAATATTCAACAAAATCAAGCCTTTGTCGGTGCTTTTATCTGCTCAGAGATTCTCTTGAAAATAATTGTCTGATGAAGAGGAAGGAAAGGAAACGAGCTTCTTGAACTTTTTAAATCATTCAGTGTCTGCTATCGGAAGAATGAAATTTGGGGTTATTTTTTGAGTTGTATATTCCTACTTTTTGTGTGTGTGTGTGCCGAGTGCCTTTTTTCCCTTTAGGGCAGGAGTCGCTTCACAGTTTCTAGGTTCCTGTGTGATCATTAGTACAGATGGACATTTGTAGTAGGAATCTGGGAACATTTCAGAGCATTAGATCTGCACAGACTTAGCAGTGCTGCTTTTCTGTTCGGGGTATATGACAGCACCTGGGAAGAACCACCTGTCTGTTCTCTCCAGGGACTTACCTGGCTGTCACATTTCTCCTGGGATTTATAGTATTTGAAGATTCATTTTGATGCTCTTTATGAATAATTAGTGTTTTTCCCCCTTTTAAGGTGCTTTTAAGATCTTGGCGCCTGTTCCAGTCTGAGACACCATAGTAAGAACGAAAGGGCAATGTCACGGCCAACAGTTCTTAGTTGCTAGAGAAGTTAGGCCATTTAATTATGAGGTCAATTAATTTTTATTCTTAGTTCAAAATGATAAATTTTTTCACTGACTTTTAAGTATCAGCTGTGATAGTATAGATTGCTCTTTCCTGTGGAAATGAAATATATTTTCAGAGTTTTTTTTTCTTTTTATAAAGAATGTCTTGTTGCGCCGTTTTGCTAGACTGAACATTTCCTCGTCGCGTGGTGAGCGCTTCCTCTAATTCAACCTTTGTCTTTTGTCTTTGCTGCCTTGCAGGGCTGGTACAGTAGGCTTCACTAGACTTAGCTGCAACTCAGAATTCTCCTCCCGCACCTGGGCAAATGCTGACGGTCTGTGAGAGTGGATTAAGAGTACAAGCTAAGTTCTCAATCCCAATTAAGAAGCGGAGGAAAATTTAAACGGTCTCCTTCCGAGTTTATCACACCACCACCATCAAGACAGCAAACCAAAGGACAAAGACTGCCTGCTCTGTGGCTCTGTAGTCCCGCTCCCGTACGGCTTACAGCCCTGGCTGGGTTACTAATGCGTAAATAACAAGTCGGACACTTCCGTTGTTGGACACCGTTATTCACAAAGTGACCAACATGCGGGCTGTGCTGGAGACGGCAGACATTGCCGTAGTGGCCCTCTACTTTGTCCTGGTCCTGTGCATTGGCTTCTTTGCCATGTGGAAGTCTAATAGGAGCACCGTGAGCGGATACTTCCTGGCCGGGCGCTCTATGACCTGGGTAGCGATTGGGGCCTCTCTGTTTGTGAGCAACATTGGGAGTGAGCACTTCATTGGGCTGGCGGGATCTGGAGCGGCGAGTGGATTTGCAGTCGGTGCGTGGGAGTTCAATGCCTTACTGCTGCTGCAGCTTCTGGGATGGGTTTTCGTCCCGATTTACATCCGGTCGGGGGTGTACACCATGCCTGAGTACTTGTCCAAGCGCTTTGGTGGCCATAGGATTCAGGTCTATTTTGCAGCCTTGTCTCTGATTCTCTATATCTTCACCAAGCTCTCAGTGGATCTGTATTCAGGCGCCCTCTTTATCCAAGAGTCTTTGGGTTGGAACCTTTATGTGTCTGTCATCCTGCTCATTGGCATGACTGCCTTGCTGACTGTCACCGGAGGCCTTGTTGCGGTGATCTACACAGACACTCTCCAGGCGCTGCTCATGATCGTTGGGGCCCTCACACTTATGGTTTTTAGCATGATGGAGGTTGGCGGGTTTGAGGAAGTTAAGAGAAGGTACATGTTGGCCTCACCCAATGTCACTTCCATCTTGTTGACATACAACCTTTCCAACACCAATTCTTGTAAAGTCCACCCTAAGAAAAATGCACTGAAAATGTTGCGGAGTGCGACAGATGAAGATGTGCCTTGGCCTGGATTCCTTCTCGGGCAGACCCCAGCCTCCGTGTGGTACTGGTGCGCTGACCAGGTCATCGTGCAGAGGGTACTGGCAGCTAAAAACATTTCGCACGCCAAAGGCTCCACTCTGATGGCTGGCTTCTTGAAGCTTCTGCCCATGTTCATCATTGTGGTCCCAGGCATGATCTCCAGGATCCTGTTTGCGGATGACATAGCTTGCATCAACCCGGAGCACTGCATGCAGGTGTGCGGTAGCAGGGCCGGGTGCTCGAACATCGCGTACCCGCGCCTGGTCATGAAGCTGGTCCCCGTGGGCCTCCGGGGCCTGATGATGGCGGTGATGATCGCGGCTCTGATGAGTGACTTGGACTCGATCTTTAACAGCGCCAGCACCATCTTCACCCTGGACGTGTACAAACTCATCCGCAAGAACGCCAGCTCCCGGGAGCTCATGATCGTGGGGAGGGTATTTGTGGCTTTCATGGTGGTGATCAGCATCGCGTGGGTGCCAATCATCGTGGAGATGCAAGGAGGCCAGATGTACCTTTACATTCAGGAGGTGGCAGATTACCTGACGCCCCCCGTGGCAGCCCTGTTCCTTCTGGCAATTTTCTGGAAGCGCTGCAATGAGCAAGGGGCTTTCTATGGTGGAGTGGCTGGCTTTGTTCTCGGAGCAGTGCGCTTAATACTAGCCTTCACCTACCGGGTCCCGGAATGTGACCAGCCCGATAACAGGCCTGGCTTCATCAAAGACATTCATTACATGTACGTGGCCACCGCATTGTTTTGGGTCACTGGACTCATTACTGTAATTGTTAGCCTTCTCACGGCACCCCCCACGAAGGAGCAAATTCGTACCACCACCTTTTGGTCTAAGAAGAGCGTGGTGGTGGAGGAGAGCTGCTCCCCGAAAGACGAACCATACAAAATGCAGGAGAAGAGCATCCTGAGATGCAGTGAGAACAGTGAGCCCATCAACCACATCATTCCCAATGGGAAGTCTGAAGACAGCATTAAGGGCCTTCAGCCTGAAGATGTTAATCTCTTGGGGACCTGCAGGGAGGAGGGCAACCCCGCGGCTTCCTTAGGTCATTCAGAGGCAGAAACACCAGTAGACGCTTATTCCAATGGGCAAGCAGCACTCATGGGTGAAAAAGAGAGAAAGAAAGAAGCAGAGGATGGAGGCCGCTGCTGCAAGTTAATAGATTGGTTCTGTGGCTTTAAAAGTAAGAGCCTCAGCAAGAGGAGTCTCAGAGACCTGATGGAGGAGGAGGCGGTCTGCTTGCAGATGCTGGAAGAGCCTCCACATATTAAACTCATACTAGATATTGGACTTTTTGCTGTGTGTTCACTTGGAATTTTCATGTTTGTTTATTTTTCCTTATGAACTTTTAAGGATATGGTGAGACAGTAACTTAAGAAAATACTGGTCTTTGGAAAAAAAACTTACATAACTGTTGCATTTTTCAGGCATTGTTTACGCTGTAGGTTTTAGCCAAATTTTACTCAGCAGAACATCATCTATTTGCAAGACTTTATTTTCCCAGAGATGGATGAAAGTAAACTTTCAACCTAATTGAAGCAAAGCTTGTTTAATAGACTGAATTGTGCAAATATGGTTTAAAATTTTTCATACCAAAGTAAGACCAATTATTCTCACAGAACACGTAGAGCAGATATAAGCCGTCACGAGAAAGTGAACTGTCTGCACTGCCAGGTCCTGGTAGATTTTAGCCTGAAGTAGAAGACTTGCTCATTTCAGAGTATTTCCTGTCTCTGTAATCCCTCCTACCATTTAAAAAAAAAATTTGCACTTGTAGAGATTGTATAATCAATTCTGTACTGAAAATCTAACTTATGTGCTAGTGAGGTACTTGTTCCAGGACAAGTTAGTTAGTTGCCGGGTTCATTTGGTTAGCATGAGCCTGTGGATTCTGATTGCCAAAAGAAAGGAAGAACATCTTTCTGTAGCTATTCTTGTACCACCACTGTATGCAGTGTTGGGGGAAAGTTTGTTCAGTTCCTTTTTTCCCCACTTTGAATTTTAGTGAACCATACTCAAATGACCACCAAGTCTGTCTTTATAAAGTTATATGCCATTATTGTATTTTTAAGTGGTTATGGGGGGGAAGATGAAGTAAACTTTGCTGATGACCTCCACATTCATTGGCCAAATTAAGGTTGTTCATGTTGTTTGGGAGTTTTGCAGCCCCTAAGCAGTGTCAGACCAGCTTCCGCTGAGCAGGTGATTGCTTGTACTCCACTAACTCCCTAGGCACGTGCTTGGCATTTGGTGACGCTCTTGCGTAGCCAGATGCCTTCCCAAGTAGATCCAGTTGGAAGATATGTTCAGAAATTGAAGAAAAATTGACACTGCCTTAGTGCTGGGTTGCCCTGCTTGATCAGATCATGATATATGGAGGTTGTTTAGGCTTTAGAGGGAAAATTTAATTCTGAGATTATATTTATTCTTGATCAGTGTTTTTCTTGATACACCTTTTCAAAAGACTTACCATCCGTACCCGGCCTATACATTTTTGCTTAAAAAGTTAAGTGACTTAGAGCATGAAGATGTTTGAATGCAAACTGGCCATGAGTAACGGGACACTCAGTGCATGTTTTGCTGTGGGTAGATTGTCAGTATCGTCCTTACAGAATGGACAGCATGTGTGAGAGGTGCTGTGAGCAGGAGCTCCTGGTTCAGTAGCGTGCCTCCCGGAGGGTCACAGGACCTGTGTGGTCATAGGACCCTTTACCTTGACACGGCTTGGTTCACAGTGGCAACCTCCATCGATGGGATTCGGCGTTCACGGGCTGATGCCCCCTCACGAGGGCAAGGCGCACAGAAGGTGGTAGAGGGACGCTCCGCAGATTCTGGAGTTCAGTGTCTGTGCAGCACCATCCCCTCCCAAACTCCATGACAGATGAAGGGCACTGCCTGTGTATCTACTTTCTTTGACTTTTCTGTACTCTGATACTTTTTAAATCGCATGATTTTATTAAGCTTATATTTAGGCAAAATTATTACTTTTTTAGGTACTTTTGTAGGTTTTGAATCAAAACTCAGTCCTAATGACATTAACTATTTTGTATTCTATAAACCAGTTTCATTAATGATGGACTTGATTAGTCCAATGTTGATTTAGAAATGATCGGGGAGCTTCATGTCTTCCCACCACCAGGAGGCTTTCTGATGGACTGAGGCTGTAGCCGAGAAAACACTTCTTATGTGAATAGCATGGTTGTTGAGAGCTTACAGTGCCTTGTAGAATTTTTTCTCAATTTCACTCTTAAGGTTTATAAGTTGGGGGCCAAATAAATAGGGACCATCCTTTTCTTGCCTGGAGGCTGAGGCTGTGACACGTCCAAGGTTATTACAAACTCCACTGGGAAGAACAGACAACCAGGTGTCCACTCTGGACTCATGGTTTGTTCATGGTTCGTCCTTTTCTCAAAGAATGTTCCTCCTCTGAGATAACCTTCCGCATTTGGGAAATAGCAGGCTCTCTGATTTTTCAAAATGCCATTCAGTTGGAGGAATTAGCATTTTCTTTGATGACATTGCTGGTCTCTCAGCAGTGAGGATCGCCATACTGGCTGGGCAGCCTTCTTACCCTTTGTACTTACAGCACAAATGAGTAGGTGGTGTTTATGTAGACTCTCCCTTTGTTTTATGTTGTGTCCTCACTTTTGGAGTATTAGGGTCCCCCTGCCTTCTCTGCTGTTGTCTTAGTATAATAGTGAAATGCATCATCTTGTGTCTGTTCGTGTGTGTATATAGCAATAGGTCAAGTTTAGAGGACTAAAGCCTGTAAATAAGGAATGACTATTAGCATATCCATTAGGTTGTTTATTTTTTGCCGTGTAAACATCACTTTGTTTAGACTGAAGTCCCTGAAGTTTGTCCTTGTTGCTTCCCAGCAGTAGATAACGTGCTTGAAAGCATGTGGATTGCTGAGGGGCAGCTTCATTTCAGGGGTTCATTTTTCAGTCTAAGGTCATTAGAATGATTGTTCATGGAATGATACGTGGTCTGTTTTAAGCTAGCAAAAATGTTCATTCTTCACACTAATGAAATGAGTCCTAAATGGTATTGATCTCTCTATATAGACATGTATATATTTTTATATTGGTTCAAGCTAAGGTTCAGAATTGACCAAGAGGAATAGTGACTAAAATAGCTGAGAGTCAAAATGAGGTGAGGACACTGGTCTTCACAGGGGAGAAGATCCAGTCTGACCTGCGGTGAATGGTAGCCCCAGTCCTTAGATTTGTCCTTCAGGCCTCCTCGTCTCAAGGTCTGATGAGAGAGCGTATCACTCTGGTTTGCAGGATAATTCGTGGCTCTGTTGTGGGCCCTCTGATTCCTCTGTTCAGCTAAGAGCGTTTTGTCCTGCCACCCAAGAGCCAGCAGCTTTTGAAACACCTGAGCCTGTTTCCTGGCTCTTCCTTCCTGTGAGGTTGTCCCGCCGTCTCTAAGTTAGAGAGGCACCCAGCGGAGCAGCGACTGTGTCCTGGGCCAGATCCCACAGATCCGACCTCCCAGCACTTCCTGTTCACTGGCTCTGAGAGGGTCACAGTAGCCATAGCTTTTAGAGACGGCACCTCCCGTAATGAGCAGGGACCCACCACTTTGTGAAATCCACATTTTGAGGACTGAGTGGAAAGGTTAACAGCGCTCTAACCCGAGGCTGAGTGGGGAGAGGAAGCTGAGTGTGTCCTGGGCTGTGGGTGTCAAGTCTGCGCTGTTCTCAGGCACTCCAGTGCCCTCTCCCTATTCTGGGCGTGGGGATCTTACCCCCCCCCCCCCCCCCAATAACATTTAATGTAGGCGATGGGTTACCAGCCATTGGAAGATCAGGCCATCAGTGTTCCCACTGGGCGTGTCCGCTCACTGCTTTCCTTGTCCTTCACTCCTCTGTGCGTTTCCATCTGAGATGCGGCGACGGGAAAGGACCACCTGGGCGCCAGGCAGTGGCGTCTCCCCATGCCTAGGCTGGGGTTGAGGGGTGTATACAGACCCTTCCTGTTACGTCATGTGGCTACAGGGACTTGCAGGACAGGCTTCCCGAGGAACAGGAACACTATTTAGTGCGATGCGGAGAAGCTCCTGGGAGATACAGCGTTAACAAGTCGGTAAAGGACAAACGTGAGCTTAAAAGTGTGTAGAATCACATTCCTTGAATTCTCAGTATCTTGACTCTCAGCTAGTTTATACCCCTCCCCATATAGGTTAGGGTATCAGTGAATAAGATGCAGCCTGTTAAATCCCGGTTTGATGTTTGATATTGTAAAGTAGGAGTTTATGAACATATTTGAGGTTAAAATGACTAATATTTGAATGGTTTTAGGCTTCAGTATTCATAAGGTTTCTTATTAGCCGAATGTTAAATGCTTCATTTCAGTGTTGAAGGCTTGACTAGTGAGGGTGTGTGTGTCTGTGAGAATAGCCCCCTGTTATCCAGAGAGACCGTCTTCTCCCTGAGTCTCTCCCTTCAGATGCTTTCATTCTTCCCTGGGCTCGGCCTGTTGTCCTCTGAGCTCATTTCCAGGCTAATTGCTATGGTGTTAAAGCGCTGGTCTTGCACAGTGTGAAGACTTGTATCCAAATAATGACCCATTAACTATAGATGTGTCTAAAAACTACCGCATTTCTATTAGCTTCAACTGTTAATTCTCAAGAATGATTTTCTCAGAGTGTGTGTTCACTAATAAGAAAAGCCCTAATTCAGTATTTTATTCTCAAAACTTCTTTTTTAAAAATTAGGGAGACAGCAGTAATTACATTCATGAGACCTTTTGAAAAGACTGTGCCACAGTGCAGAGTGGAATGGTGTTTTGATGTCAAAAAGCCTTGTTACAGTAATTAAGGTAAAAAGTTGGAATAGTCTGTTGGCATCAAGAGAAACCCCTTTGTACTAGTTAGGTATGAAGTTGGACTACACGAGAAGTAATCTTGGTTCCTACACTTGGTTAGACTTAGTTGACTCAACCCCTTTTCCTCCATTAAAGTCCCGTCTCTTCATCGGCTTGCTGTTGGTCTGACTCTGCTACCTTTACTCCTAGAACAGCATTTAGCTACGGCCCCAAATAACTAACAGGCGTGGCCAGTGCTGTGCCCACACTCTGTTCACTTACTCCTCGTGTACATGTTTTTATTTAAGCTTCTCCCTCCACAGCAGGGAACAAGGCTTTCAACTGCTCATTGACTTCGAAAGGCATGTTGTGTCATCTGTGTTTTTGTTTCCATCTCAAATCCTTTATGAAGGATAGATTGAGTTTTCTGTTTGGGGTTAGACATTCCATTTATGTGGTAACTGACAGCCTTAACCATTGGCATGTAGTCTTTGATTCAGAAGTAAACTGTGGTGTATCTGTATCATTACTCATGTCACGCACATGACTTTCTAAGAAGCTGTTGACTTAACCCATGAGCCTCACTCTAAGGACTTTTGCAGTTTGTTGTGGTTACCATGTTTGAAGGAAGATGCTGGAGTAAATAACGCAACTGAAGAGCAAGTCGAGGCAAAGCACCATGGCCTCAGCTTCCTCTAGTGGAGTGGCGGTGGCTCTGCTCTCCTCAGAAAAGCGCTGTAACTGTTGCCATGACCCCCCCCCCCCCC